AGCCTATTATTAATTTACACGTATTTACGTACGTAAGCGTAAGTGTTGGACAAAATATTTAAAAAGGGTATATAAAAGTATTAAGTCAAGAAAAAAATACCTGTTTTAGCAAATTGGCGATCTTGTCTGCTAATTCGGGTGATCCTTTTCCATGATATTCTTGTCTGTATAGTTCTTCAGAAAATCCACCGAAATCATAAATAATCGGCGTTACACCTTTGAATTTTCCGACTAAAATCGAATTAATATCAATAATAATACGTACGTATCAACCCAAATTTGATTAATTTTATTTTATTTTATCGTTATTTTTTTCTAAGTATATTAAAATAACACACCTTTAATTCCTCCTACAGTTTCCCAATGAGCAGAAATAATGACAATGGCTTTTGGTTTGTCCTCATTCAAAATTTTATTTCCCCATTGCTGAAAAAATTTATGATCGTTACTTTCCTTAGTGAGTAATACCGGTGGTCCTTGAATTCAATAGATCGAATTAAATATAAATATAGTTTGCTATTATTTTTTTATCGTTATTATCTATAACAACTATAACGATAAATATACATACCACCATGAGAAATAAAATAGCATGGCTTTCGTGATGTTGTATTGGAAGACATTTTCTAAATTATTTGTTAATTCTTTTATTAATTCTTTTAAGTTTTTATGATTGTTTATTAATTATTTTATAATCTTTGGGTTGATTTGTTTTTGAGTTGGATGTAAACAGAAGTTTTTGGCTTTATATATAGAATAAATTTATTACAATGTGTTACCATTACTACGCTAATGTAATATCTGTAATTTGACTAATCATAATGTCGATACGTATTTGTAATGCGCCGATTCTGATCCTATTACAAATTTGATTATTGTCCGTTTGATTGGTAATCAATTTGATGTTCGGAATTACTAATACCGGACTAACTTTCTAGAAGACTTGAAACGGTTGTCATGATTATATCGAATATGTGACTTTAGAATTTTGTGGTTGCAACAGTTTATACAGTAGTACTACTGGATGTGAAAAGATATGAGAGGATGTGAGAACAATAAGAAAATGTGACCAATTTAGTATAAATGGTATCGAAAAGTTTATATGATACGTATTTATAAATAATTGTCCAAATTTCCTTAAAAATAACACATTATATGACAATGTAGAGTGTTAATAATTAAAGTATTTAAGTTTACTTTTTATGTGTTATTTAAATTTCATGGTAAAAAAAAATTATTAATAAGAAAATGACATTTAACAATAAATTGTATTTTAAAATATATTGCCAAAATCAAAAAACAATCCATTTTATCAATTAGAAACTATTTAAATGTTCAAAACGTTACTATTTTTACTCCCACCATGCTTCTTTAAGCAACGACCACGCACTCTTAATAATGATCATTTGTTTACTCCTTACATAAATATTCATATTAAAAGCAAAAAGTATGCATCGAGTATATAAAATCTATCATCAATGTATTTAATAAATCCTTTTTTTCAGCAAATTACTCTGATATTACTCAAACATCTTAACGAACATTGTTAACATCCTTTTTTAAAATAACTCAAACTTTCCAAAACTATGAATTAAAAAGTTTTGAAAACAAAACGGTAGATAAAATTTAAACATTACAATTCATTTATTATTAAAAAATTGAGTTACAATTTTTTAATAATAGATAGCATCTTTAAATTTTAATATTATGGTAATTTAGTTATTTACATGTATACAATTATCATTTTGACTATTTAATATTTATAATTTAATATCAAACTTTTCTGAAAAATTTCTTGAAACTTTTAAAGTACGAAGAGAATCGGAAATTGAATACTTATATGTATTAAATTTATTAATAAATTGTTAAATTTCATTAGACCTTGATGTAAAATCACCAGTCGTTACCACTTGCACACCTGAATTGCTTATTTTGAAGACATGCTAAAAGTGTTATTATTATTATTATTAATTAAGCATGCCTTTATTTGTAATTTTTGAAAGAACATACCAAACGTTTTTGTGACTTTTCGTTTGACCGATGTAGTAATGTATGCTAATATATTTGTGTGATTCATATCAGCAGATTTATGAAATTGGGCCTTTTTTTAGAACCAAAATAGACCCTAAAATCTAATAAAAATTTACATCAAAATATTGTTCGATTATACAAATAGCGTCAACTTATTATGTCTAACCCATTTCCCAACCTGTTAACCCATTTCTTTTGTGTGATTTCAAGTAATTGAGAAGTAGAAGTTGTAGAGGTTTGATAATAATATATATTTATTTAAGTTCTATAAGCAATAGTATTTTTATTAACATTATTATATTTCAAAGAATGACTACTCAAAATAGTGTTTCTTGTTTACTTTATGTTAACAAAAAATCTTCGTGGCTTACATATACATCAAAGAATTGTTCACCAAGCAACTACGTCTAAGTCGTTTTCTTGTCCACTTTGTCCACATAGTTTTTTTAAAAGCAAAAGTAGTTGGAGCTGACATGAAACTCTCAAACATAATAATTACAATATACCTAAACAGGTTAATGAACTTCCTCAGGATCATATTAATGAAATAAAAGCAACTTTGGTTTATCTAATTAGATCTCGTCTCAAATTACACACTAAACATTCAGGTATTCAAACAGTTTCCTTACCATTAACTGAATCAGAATTTATTTGTACATATCAAACGTTATTCTTTTTGTTAACAAAAATATACGTGTTACTTTGGAGGGTATGATACTTTAAGTCATATCTTTAATGAAACAAATTGGGGAAGACGAGTTTTTGAACATGGTCAATGGTCAGAGGTTATTCTTGTACCAGATTCTACGAGCTCTATGACACACATTAAACCTTTACGAAGCTCTATTCGTGTGGATCCTGAAAATCCAGAAATGATTATTATATGGAAACAAAAAGAAATTAATGATAACGAAGAAAATGTATCAATGGCTTGATAGATTACGATTCGATTTTTAGTAGGACAATTTTATTAAACTTTAAATAAAATTTATTGTAAATAAAGTTTATAAATTAGTGATTCGAATTTTTTTTTTAAAATGATTTCAATTTTAAAATTGTAATTTAATTTAAATACTAATTACATTTTTGATACTATACATAAATATTGAATTCTGAAAAACACCAAATTATATACTTCCGGTTTATAACATTCTTCCAAAGTGTTAAAATAATTATTCCTGAATTCTGAAATATTATTCTCCAAAAGAATTGATTTATCCATCTACATTATTTCATCAAAAATTTATTAATATATATTAATATGACGACCTTAGTTTAAATTATTGTAATAAAAATAAAAACTATACCGCATTGTCGTGAAACAATGCCCTGGGCATTATTTCAAAACTCATTTTTTTTAGAGAGGTAAAGTTTAATTTGAAGACTTTTAAGAAACAAAATTATTGATTTTATTCATCAAAATAAATCTTAATTCTCTGGAAAAAATGTGTTTCGAAATAACGCCTGGGGCGTTATTTCACTATGATACGGCATACTACCAATAACTTTCCATGTATAACTTTGGCATATTTTTTTTTGATTTTATATTGTCGTACATTAATTGAAGTTTGTTATACTCTCATTGACAGTAACTTATTAGGTCTATAATAAAGTTCTAATTTAAATGAAAAAGCTTAGACTATTTAATACAATATTCAAAAAAACTATATATATATGTGATGCTCTAATTGTAAAATTAAAATTATACCTTTCAAACTTATTAGGTCTATAATAATATTCTAATTTACATGAAGAATCTTAGACTATTTAATACAATATTCAAAAAAAACTATATACATATATGATGCACTAATTGTAAAAATTAAAATTATACCTTTTAAACTTATTTATATACTCAAATGCTGCATCATTATCCTGAGTCACTTTCTATCAATTGAAAAATAAATCCCTTTAGCTTCAAATTTTTATAACTAATATTTAGCATAAAATACAAGTTATCTTCGAAAAATTACTATTAGTATGAATTATGGGAGCATTAATCATTTTCAAATTACACTTATCTTCTGAGCCTGAAGAGTATAAAAATTGGCTCGTCTACTTGAATTGTCATATGGTTTAAAAATAGCATTTAATTCATCCGTTTTTCAGAAACCATCTAACTACTTTTCTGCCATTTGTTTCAGTTTTATAATCATTACACCTATCTCAGCTAATTTTGTGTTTGGTAATAGTAGAATCGTCATAAACATCATAGTGATACGCATCTTGCCCTCGATTCACAGCTTTATATTACTTGCACAATACTTTAAAATTAGATTATTAGTTATCTATACCTCATTCATTTGATATGAATTTTAATTAAAAATTGGTCTATATAAATACCTCGCATCTTCACGAATCAGGAACCTTAATTAAGCTTGATGCTTAGTTTGTTACGTTGGTCTTACCTCCAGGGCAACCTGTAATTCTTGTCAAAATGGCATTTTTACCTTACTCATAAATAAGTATCTTTATGTTATTAAGTATAGCCTATCTAGAAACTATGCGCAAACAGTTATAGGGTAAAGTTGTTTTTTCAGTAAAATAAAAAAGAATTGATCCGATTGATCTACAAGAATTAATGTGATACAATCACAGCTACGCTTTGGTCTATAAATTTTATGCGAAATGTTCTAATACATCATTTTCAATTCCAATACATGTTAATATTCTGCTAGTATAATCCATTTTTATAGATTTAATAGTATTTAATTGTCTTACTTTTATCCTTTTTAATATAGTTCTTTTATAATAGTGATTTTCTAAAGCTTATTTATGTTTTGATAATTAATGAACGTCTATCATCTTTTAATTCCAATTTCTTCTTGACAACGATATTGGCATTAAATGTTTATAAATCTTCTCTATATTAATAGATCTGTTGATAATATTGAACACCTTGTATTTATTATATATGCCTATTCTTCAAGGTTTAATAACATTAGTGAATTTGGTAAATTTTTTTATCATGAATGGAAAAATACTCAAAGTATAAATATTAGAAGCTTGTAAAATAAATAAAACAAACCTTTTAGTATCTGCTTTGACCTTTGATTTATCTGTATATACATCTATATATATATATTTTTTAATTAAAGTGTTATTTAAAATAAATTATTGAAAATTCTTTAAAATTATGCTTATGAATTCTTATGCGCTAATCTAAAAATCTTTTTATTCACATTAAAACTGAAACAATTCAAATACTAATACTAAGTAATATGAACTAAAGTTTCATAGAGGTATCAAATCTATAATTGCACGTTATATATATAATTCATGTATACACTTATGAATAGTATGAATCAATAGTATGTTTTTGACAAAGTAACCTTCACATGATCATCTAAGAGCAAGTCTATAAATTTATTAGTAGAGTACATTAATAAATTAATATAATAAAGTTTAAAAAAAAAGTTTGCTTATATACTGACTGCTGTAATTTATCTATATTGATATTAATTGTTGTACCCTTTTCAAAATATGATGATATATTGTTAACATAAAAAAAATCATACCGATTTTTATATTCTATTATTTCTATTATTGTCAGCTTACGTATTTCTTCTTTGCCTCCACCTTTTATCATTTT